AGACACATATGCTCGAGGAGGGAGATGGTAATTCATGAGTGAGTACGTGTTTGTCAGGTCCCCCCTTGAACCTATCCACTGACGGGGCTGTGGTCACTTCGGCTTAAAGATAATTCCCTATCAAAATAAACACCTGAAAAGGAAAGACCCAAGGTTAAGAAAGGCATATGATGCTTGTTACAGGCAAAAAGGAGAGCCTTGCATAAATGGATAAATCTTCCAAAATATCCTGACCGTAGCTCCTACCTGGCATAAGAAAATGTACGGAACGCCAAAGCTAGCAGCGAAGGGAGATATTTAGAGGTATGACTAGTAGTCAAAATACAAGCCTAATATATTATCTCTATAAGTCGATAGAATTGGGGACTGGGTCAGTATTAATGTATTTATCCTTGCTACTAGAGAAGTAAGCATAATCCATAAATGTGTACTTGCCATGATGTGACCTTACCTACCAGACATTATGTGAAAGTCGCCATGTTGTCCACACTAACTAGTATTATCGTGCCTGTCGGCCGTTGCAGCTGTCAAACTATGAAGAACACACTTGAGATAGAGATAAAGTAACATCTTTAATGTGATACAACACGAGGTTATGTGGAGCGACTACACCTGCGTGACTGAGGCATTTCATACTGCTGAAGTGTTCCTGCGTCCACCGTATTTGACCCTCTTACCCGGGATATTTTGTACGGGTTTTCTCAGCCATCGTATGATCGGCTTTGAGTATCTTGTGGTTGGGGCTAATGCTACTGCAGATTTATGACTTAACATAAACCTACAAACCAGGTGGTCTTTGCACTCATGAGGCCTGCCGGCTACCTAAAGGCCGGATGAATATCCATCTTACTTCCGAATCGGCACTAGGAAAAATAAGAATCATATGCTCGGGAAAGTCACTAGCATGTAGGAACGTCTGCCTTATGGTCCTGGAACAGCGTGCGAAAGCCAACAGTTCACTAGTATACGACCTGTCCAGGAACGCGCTAGAGCAACATCAACGTCTAGAAGAATGGAAACAGGTTACGCTCTCTCCAATCTTCAAAATGATGTAAGAAAGAACTAGCCTGCTATAGAACAGTCACATTAACGCCAATACTGTCAAAAGTAACGAAAATACTAGTTAATAAATAAAAGACAGAAAAATGAACAAAAACAACTTTAATGAGGTCTAATACGTATTTGGGAAAGGTAGGTCCTCTGTATACAGTCTTCTCATAGCATCGGACAGCTTGAGCACCTTTTGGGACAAGAAGGTTACGGTTCATGTGATATTCCTCGATTATTAAAATGGTTCAAATGGTTGTGGACCGAGTAAAAGAAGCTTTCGCTTAACAGGCTTCCTTGTCTATTAGCAGGGGATCGCCAATACCTCCTGGTAGGTATATTAACTATAATAGATTACAAAAAAAGAAATTGTTAGCCCATAATAAGACGTTGTTCTTAGTCCTTAAGAATAGGTCAAGCCTTCGGAACCTTGCCACACTTGCTTATCATAGAGAAGGTTGAAAATATAAGTTTCCCATATCGACTTCTATCTTGGCTCCGAAACTACTTTGAGAACAGGATAATTCGTACGAATGTAAGTATGGCGCACGCAAGCTTTTGGGCTTTAACATTTGAAATCTCACAAGGAGCAATCTCAGGACGACTTCTGTCCCCAATCTTTATTAACAACCCGTTAGATAAGGTCACCACTAATATTTGCAAGCGACACTAAGATCTAAAAGCCTATGAAAGCAAAAGGACCCACTTTGGCATCAAATTATCCTTGAGACAATTGAGGGGAGGCCAGAAACGATGAGTTGGAGCTTCAACTACCAGGATGTTCTGTCATGGAAATTCATTTCTATGGAACACAACCAGGATGAATACTCCATGAAATTCCACATGATTTCCCACTTAGACCTCGATTTCGTGCTAAGAACCACAGAGAGCTTGAGTACCACTTCAAATTATATCGGGGTTGTAATCATAGCAAATACGGCTACCCACTTTATGTGAGAACAACGTGACGCAATCACCTTAAAACTCTCTCTAAATTTTACCGAGAATGTACTCGTGGCTTCACTTTAAAGTTCGGAATGGTTTTCCGGCCACTCCTTCAAAAGAGACGCGAATACCTTGGACGACTCGACAAACGAATGTTCATTCGTGGATAACCGTCTACATCTTGAAATAGCTGTGCCCGATATCACTATTATGCATCATTGATTTATTCTTGTCTCCATTCTCACCTTCGTCCCTCGGTATTCCTGTAGCGGTAAATAAATAGTTCTGTAGATCTTCCGAACTGATGCCGACTCCATTAATTTTACTGGACACATTCTAGCTGAAGGTGCTCGGTCACGCATCCACACCAGATCACGAATGGGTACGCCGTACCACACATCTCTTACAACTTCTAGCCAGCTTAGGCGAAATGCTTCTCGATGTATTAGTAGTGGCTCTGGACCCCAACCACAAAATCCTTAAAGCTGAACACGAGACAACTGTGAAGATACATATTCAACATTTAACTGGGAGAAAAGCTGAACGATGGAGAAGGCTGGAACAATGAACTGAATTGGTTCGAATTGATCGGAAAACATGGCTCAACCTCGCAGACATGGTCGATCTGTACAACTTGCTGTTACCCATATTAAATATGTTGTTATATCTCCGGCCTGAATGTGTTGCCCATCATAAATTAGTAATTGTTACGATAAGGTGAGTCAGTGTAGACAATGATGTGAGTTTCACGTAAGATCTTATAGATTAGGCAGTTACATCATGACAAGTCTACAATTTGAGGATTAGGTCTATTATTAGAACAGTACTGATATCATAGTAGACCATAATTCTTCAAATCTACAACATAAGGATTTGGGAATTCACCCTGAACTTGATATGGATGCTCATTGGGATTTCATACTGCACACGATCTTAGGTGCTACAAGGCAGTATGTTCCTCAAATTATCCCCAAAACCTACAAGCAACCTAAGATACAAAAGGCACTTTTGTACGGAACACAAACGGACTGATAACAACGGCGCGTACAGGCAATACGTACATATAAAGAACATATGCACAAAAACAATAAGAGACGACAGACTTCAGTACTAGACAAAGCTTATCGATAAATTTGTATCCGATTTGGAAAGCTTATTCCGTTATGCAGCGTCTCTTTGTCAAGCCGAAACTGGAGTTTCGCAACTGCTAGGTCCTAATTGTTCGACAAATAACCACAGTGACGCCACTAACTATCTGGCTGAACAGTGCTCTCGAACATTTCGACAGACCCACAACAAATATATTGATGACAGTTTCATCTGCAACTGCACAGGACTTTTCGAAGTGAACCTGAACGCTGACCTGGTGTACCGAAAACTGAGACACCTAAGAAAAGACGCTTCTCCTGGTCTGCATATGGTTCATCCTGCTATACTAAAGAAAGCAGCTCCAATGCTGACAACGTCGCTTAGCGTGATGTTCTCACACTCTCTAAGCCGAGACAAACTACCGGATATTTGAAAGCTGGCTCACATCACACCAATTTTCAAAGGAGGTCGACTCAGCGAAACTTCAAGCTACTGACCGGTGGCTCTTCTCTCAATACCTTCAAGAACCATGAAGTCACTGATAAGCGACGGTATACATGACTATTTATTATCCTTAAACTTCATTTCACCCCAACAGCATTGTTTCTGGAAGAGTCACTCTTGTATAGCCCATCTGCTGACCGCGGTGAACAGATGAACAAGCATCTGTGATCGTAAGTAGAAGGTTGACGTCATTAACCTTGATTTCTCAAAAGCTTATGATAGTTTCAACCATATATGTCTTATCAATAAGCTCAGACGTTTGGATATCAAATCACCTCTAATTACTGGCTGACTTCATATATAAAAAATCAACATTTTAAGGTAAGGGTTAACTTCACTTTCTCTCAGACAATGGAATGTCCTGGTGTGATCCCCCAGGGTTCAGTAATGGGACCTCTTCTTTTCTTGATTTGTATAAACGATCTTCCACAACAGGTATCGTCTGACTTATCACTTTTTACTGATGATGTGAAACTTTCGAGAGAGATACTCAAGACGATATACAGGCACTTCAGGAGGATCTGACTCGACTTCAAAGTTGGACAGACAAGAACGGACTTACTTTTAACACTTCAAAGTGTAAAGTAGTCCATCCGAGACATGTTGCAGACTACAGTTACAATTTGGGAAACTCCTCTCTAGAAGTATCCCGAGTTGAAAAAGGTTGAGGAGTGCTGATATCCTACGATTCGAAGTCTTATGATAACTGTGACAAAAATGCCTTCTGAGCAAGCCTTGCACTGGTAAAATTGAAGCGCATTTTTGACCAGTTCGACGGAAAAACTTTCCACATAATCTTCAGCAGTTTCATTCGTCCCCACTTAGAGTACGAAAACATAGTATTTCTTCCCTCACTCCAGAAGGACAAGAACACTCTGGAACGTATCCAATGGCGAGCCACAAAATCAGTTCGGGGACCCAAATTCAAGCCTTACGAAAAGCACCTCTAATCACTAAACCCTTACCCACTAGAGTACAGGCGTCTTAGAGGTGACCTTATAGCTTGCAGTATCCTTAATACTTCTGGACATCCCCTTAAATATCTACTTAGATTTGGCTCCAACACAACAAACCTAAGGAGGAACATCCAAAAACTGGAGACACAATACAGCAGAACGGACTGTATGCACACCTTCTAGTCCCTAAGGATTGTCAAATGCTGGAATTCGCTGCCGGCTGAGCTAATCGAAGTGACTTCCCAGGAGTCCTTCAAGAGGAAACTTGACCCATTCTTAAGGACTAGGGATAATATCTTAGCATGATTTGTCAATTTCTTTTACTTCTATTATCATTAATATACCGACGTCCCTGCCTGGAGGTTTAGGTGATCCACTATTACTAGACACGGAAGCCCGTTAAGCGACAGCTTCTTCAATTCCGTCCACAACAATTTGGACCATTTGAACTATTTAGATCTCAAGGTTATTCCTAGGCCCCGTCTTTTGAACTTGTTACTTCCACTATCTTTCGGCTCCCAGGCAGTTAGCACCGAATAATGCTTGGTAGAGATTGGTAAAAGTTTTGGTTCCAATGAGCATTTTTTGCTTTTTATCATCTCAACCATTTATTACCTTCAAAGAGTTTAGGAAAACTTGGCAAAATTGTAGTCAATTAAAACCAAACGTTGGCTTCTCATTAAGAAATACCGTACTTCTTGTTATAAACAGAGTGTAAATTTTTATAACTGGTTTCAAGAATAATCCATAAATATACCTTCCACCCAGTCACATATAAATGCGACGTGGTGCCTTAGCCTAATTACGCGGAATGCGTACAAATTGTATAGGTTGTCCATGGGAGTGCCTTGTGTGATTCATTTCATAGCCTCAAATGTGTGTAAAGAGGCATTCTCCTATTCTATCTTCTGTCTCTAATTTTCAGCACTAGCTGCCGTAATTTTATAATCTGAAAGCGTAAAACATCACTGCGCTATAGTTAGCTTCAGTTCGTTATGAAAACTGTAACTTTAATCCCTAATCCCAACATTAACTCAAAATCAGCCCAACTCCAAATCCTTAACCCTAGTTTTTTTGTGTCATACTTAATGTAAGTCAGTGTTGAAAACCTTCATCCTTAATAAAAACTTTGTCACAGATAACATCCAAACGAAATCTTTCTCCGTTTACCAAAACAGAAATTACAATTTGCTAGAGTTTAAGGCTTTCCTCATCAAAGGCCATTACTTGTACTAAACTTCTACCGTCGCAAAAGTAAAACGCTTCTCATTCAAATTTGCAAACTTATTAACCAAATAATGTTTATTATCATACTAATTAGGTGTCTCAAAGAACCTCGTCCACTCACTTAATTTTTTAATCTAGTTTTTTCATATGCCCCTCTGGCTGTAATAAGCAGTTCTACTCTAGATTTTAGTATTGAAATGTTAAACATTTAAACCAAGTGTAAACGACAGAGGTCAGAACCTTCTATTTATACGGACTTTATGTTTACTGTTATCCTTAGAAGAGCTCACTAAGTTATGAAGTAAGTGGTTACAATCTCAAACTCCGTATCAGACAGACAAAAAAGAATAAATGTAAACTGGAAGCTATGGAAATTGATAATAATATGAACACTAGTTTACTAGTGAGTGTAACAGAAGACTATTCCGCGAATCTGGTTCGTTTTCAACCAACGATATACAGTCGCTTATTCCTTACTGAAACTGTCTTCTGGATTAGCTATGGCTTCATTAGTGTATCATGCAATTCAGGGTGAACAAGCCAAAGATGCAGCAAAGTACTGTTGTTTTCACTGTTTCCTCTTGAAAGTTACCATCCCATGACTGTATCATAGAGAACCACAAATACCATCAGATATGTTCTCCGTGATTTAATAACCTGAATTGACCAATATGTCACACTCAACTTAGAAGGATACTGAGCGAGAAAACAACAAGTCCTCCTAATATATTTTTGGGCAGCTGGTTCGTTCATTCTGAGGCACTAATATTTTTCTAGTCTTCTTCATCAGCATTCTAAGATCTTTCCGATATGTTCCCATAGCACCCAGTTACCCATTACTTAACACCATTCACATTAAGGGTAGGTAAAGCATTGACACTGATATCATGTTAGTAAAAATAAAAGGGTAAGAAAATGCGTTTAAACCTATGAATGTCAGTCAGTTATCAACACAGGGTTTTACACACGTATGCAACTCTGCAATTGACCAATTATCACATCAGTAGACTGTGGGTCAATAACAGTCATATCTGAAATCTTGTATAGAAGTATTTAATAAATCAAAGGTTTGACTGGAGCTCAGTGATGTTATACAAGATTGCACACTCATTCTTATGGGGTGTACAGTACCTACAAGCTGACTGAAGATTACATATGTGAGACTTACTTCTTGCTATCATATGAGAATATACTGTGAAATTTTGGGCATTAGCTGCTGGGATCAATATGATTTTGGTTGCCAGAATCCATGTCTGAATGCTCATCAACTTTCAGTGAACTGATTGAACAGATCTGTTTGTTAAATAATATGGTGGACACTAAGCCTGATAATCAGACTTCGATTTCGTAGTTCCGTGAATAACCTACAAAATCAGTGTCTAAAAATCACTCCTGTTTTAAATAATTTTAGACCATACTTATTATCTGAATAACAACAATTACGTTCAACGCTTCTAATCAGTTGTCTTATATAAATATGCTAAACAATTAACTGGAACAATAAAAATTATACATACATTCATTCCTTTATTTCTCTTCATTTTTTGCATGCTGTGACATGTTTGATTCATATCACGTGTAAAAATAGTAGTTTTCTTAAAAATCCACCGATCAGAGACAATATATAGTGAATGAAATTCCTTTTCATACCACTTACGCATACATACAATCTGTTATCTTAACACCGTTTCACACCACATGTCTCTCACACACTAGAGCAAATACCTACTTTAAGAACTGTTAACGTTAATTAGATGACCTATTTAGTATATAGTTAACCAGAGGACCATATACCTATTTTTATATTTGATAATTTTGATGTTTGATTATAATTGCTTGGAAAACGTTGGACCAGATTACGAGGTGAAACGTTGGATTCACCAATTCATTCTATGAGATTTTATAAATACGTTCTTCCTCATTAATGTCTCACACCAACCTGGTGCTCAAATACTGTGAAACTATTTGATCAAATTTAGAGGGGAGTTTTTATAAATTTAGGGACAAATATTTTTCAGCTATTCTGTGAACTGTTGTGTCAACAGTTATTAGGACACTAGTGGGCTAAGTTATTCAATAGGTTTATTAATCAACCAATCTACCTCGGTGCGCTTGTAAATCAAAAAATCCTCACACTAGCACGAGATCCTAGTTTCACTCCTCCAACCTGTTATTCTCAATCGAAATCGGATGTCCACCAGCGTATTAAAATAACAACTACACTGCATAAAATTAAGCTTTGTGTTTTTTTACAAAAATTAAACAACTTTCATGTGTAAAGGGAACTCATAACTCAGAATTATTTGGCTTTCTTATTTACTGGAATAAACTAATGTTCCTTGGAAGTTAATGAAAGTCCTCTGCAACCATGTTACATTTTACGTAGACGAATTCTATTATGATTAACAGTTCAAATACTATCATTTATTGTTATTACTCCTTTAGATATTTAAAATATGGCCGGTGAAGAATCGATAAAAATTAAATTAATCCTGTTAGGAGATTCAGGTGTGGGGAAGACAAGGTATGTTCTTCCATATATATCATTTACCTTCTGCAAACTGCTTTCTTTTATATAGTTTAATTCGTCGATTTGTTGATGACCGATTTACACACAATGAAGCGGCGACGATCGGTTTCGATTTCAAACCATATCAAATGGTTGTAGACGGAAGAACAATTCAGTTTAATATATGGGTAAACGTCATGTCACAAACATTGTAGAACACTTATTTTCATGTTATTAGGATACAGCTGGTGTTGAACGATACAGTAGTTACTTGACTCCTTCGCTTTACCGCCACGCTCATGGTGCTCTTTTTGGTAAAAACAAGCCTATAGTTTTATTCTCTTCGTCATTTTTAGTATACGATGTTACTTCCGCACAAAGTCTTTCCGGAGTGAAATACTGGGTAGAACAAACCAGACAATTCTGTGGTAGTCGACTTTTAAAAATGCTTGTTGGCAATAAAATTGACTTGGTTAGTTTGTTGAAATTATCTTTAGAGATATTCTATCCATAGGATAATCGCATAGTTTCAAAAAAAGAAGGTTCAGATTTCGCTCGAAGTATGGGGTCAATCTTTGTTGAAACCAGTGCAAAAACAAGTGAGAATGTCCGTGATGCTTTTGTAGAACTTGTTCGTAAAGTAAGTCTTATTTTTGTACCCATTAGTATGTATATAGATAATGATTATCAGAATGGGTTTTGTGGAGAGTTTTAGAAATTTCACAGGTTGAAATCATGAGCCAATTGAAGCTAGACCACCATGGAAAACCTGGAAGCACTGGACGGCCGTTTCGTCCTAGTATGGGACTCAGCAGTGCGCATCCACGATCCCGCACCACGCGGGGCTCGAACCCAGGACCTACTGGCTTCGCGCGCGAGCACTTAACCACTAGACCATTGGATGCCGGCACCCATACTATGACAAAACGGCCGTCCAGTGCTTCCAGGTTTTCCATGGTGGTCTAGCTTCAATCGACTCATGATTTCAACCTGTGAGATAATGATTATTTGAAACGATTGATTGGTCGGTGTATTTATTATTATTATACTAAATTTTCGGTTGGTTTGTGATTTATCTTATTTCATCAGAAATTCAACTGGTTAACACTAACTAGTTGTTGCGTAATTAATCTCTTTATATGTTTCGGGACATTTGTGTGTGGCCCCTTAGGAGAACCTCCTGCTTCGGTTTCGGCACCCGGGCAGTATCACAACCCACACACAAATCAAGTGATTTGTGTGGTGCATATGTATTTGGTGCTCCTTTGTACCGATATTTATGTGTTCAAATGAATAATACACATTCCGGTTTCACTTGGTTCTTTTAAGGTCTTCCACTATTAATGTGTTGACAATAAGTTTTTTGGATTCATTATGTATACATTTTGGTTGTTAAGTGGAAAAATGGAATATTGACCTATAGGTAATTAAAAATAATTCATCATAGTCGACTGACAAGTGTACATGAAGTTGAATTCTTATTGACTCATTCTCATTTGAACTGTTATCAAAGGTGATACAATTGGTGAATAGAGTTGGTTTTTCATAATAAAAATGTTACCTCGTGATTAGAAGTTACATTACACAAATTATTATAGATCATTTACATCAGTAAGACTAAGACCTGACTGACAAGCTTAATTCTTACCTGGCAGATCACGTTCTCACTAATTTGCTCCAATGTATTCCAACTGGAGTTGTAAGGATTATAATTAATTTGAAACAAGCCACAAAAGAATACTGACGGATTAATTCCAGAGGCGTTTAACAATACTGGTCAGATTGATTACTATGTCTAGGAGTTCAAACCGCTTCCCCTTAGTTGGCTTAGATATCTAGTCATTTTGGTCTGTACGAAAAGATGGCAACCCTATGATAACTGTTTATTGATAATTCATAAAGTATCAATTTTCAAAATCATCTGGTGCATAAATAAAGGTTGGTGAAAGCAAGCTAAATAAAAAAGTCCTATTTCAGACCTGGGTTTGGTCCACCAGGGTGCTTGGTACCTGTATGGTTGCGCCACAGGATTGAGCTGTACTATTCAGATTGTAGCGTTAAAGCCTATACGGTGTCTGGTTCCCCTGCTAAACGGAGTTGAGCTGTACTGTTTGGGTTTTTACGTGAAAGTTTGGATGGTGTCTGGTTCTCCTGAAAACCAATGTAAAATTACCCTGGCCCAAAAAGGCATATTGTATAACCGTGAAGCCCCCAAATGCCCTGGTACGGCCGAGAGTGGGGAGAGTCCGCTCTCCCCCTCGAAATGCTCTCACGTGGCCACATTAATCCAATTAGAAATCAGGTAAATTAATGAATATTACTGACCAAGAAATAGATTTCATTTCTAAGAGATAATATATACACTACCAATGGTTTCATACTAGAATGGGACTCATCGGTGGCAGTGCGTATCCACGATCCCGCTTCACGGGACTCGAACCCAGGACATAGCGGTCTCGTGCACGAACGCCTAATCTCTAGACCACTGAGCCCCCAAACGCCCTGGTACGGCCGAGAGTGTGGAGAGTCCGCTCTCCCTCTCAAAATGCTCTCACATGGCCACGCGTATATAGCCTCTGCCAGGGAAGTCCTACTCACTGCCTTCTCGCACCACAGGTGTTGTTTACGAAAATGAGAGGACGAAAAGCGAATATCCGGCGCTTTAACCGGATCCCAAACCAATGGTGCACATGGGCTCCAGTATCCTGCGGGAACGAATGGCGTATGAACCAATTGTTGGTCACCGGCTTCCATTGGACTGCATCTCCTTACGATGCTCCACTGCCTTATGGATCAGACCTTCAGGTCGAAGGCTCGGGGAGTGGCCCCCTATGAAAATCACCTGCTTCGATTTGAGCACCCGAGCAGTATCACAGCCGTCACACATATCGAATGAGATTTACGTGGCGCATATGTATTTGGTGCCTCCTTGTACCAATATCTATGTGTTAAAATAAATAATGAATAAGTAATGCAGAATATATACTCATCCTTCAACAGATTTTTGGACATGCTTATCAATGTGATATGATGTAAAGAAAAGTCAATTTTCGATTGATTTACTCATTATAAGTTTTGTTCAACATAACTTCCGTTTTGATTCAATGTAATGATGACTCAATGTATCGTTTGTTTTCTTTTCTCGTATGATATTTTCTTCTGTATACTATACGATATTCTTGTATTCATTTGACATGAACTATGCTCAATAAGTGATTTGTTATAACTGAGTATGTGATTTAATCCTAATTATTAATCAAAATGGGTGTACAATCAATATATAAATGAGTGCATTTTTGACTAGGGTCGTCGCCGTCATAGTGTTTTGGGGCTAATAAATCTTCACTTATATCAGTCTTTGTGTTCTTACTTTCGCGTCGTGGGAATTGCATAGGTCCTTCGTTCCGAGTATAAGTGATAAGCGTTTCCGACATAACAATCAGCGATGACCAGATACAAAAAGTAACATCAAAAGAGCTAAGACAATAAGCATTCAAACGACAAGTTATAACACGATGCCTAACCACAATCGTCTTTCTTGACTTGAAAACGGCATTTCATTTTGTTTGTTCACACGTTTGATGCCAGTGTTTGTTATTAAAAAGTGTACCAGAAAGCGCATTAGTTTCTTGAAAATTCAAATCGACTTTCACTGTTTGCGATCACGCAGACGACGTAGTTCATTTGGTGAAGACACTAAAATAATCGTTATCCTTCAAAACACGTTTGGCAGTAAAGCGAAGGGGGTTAGAAACTTTAGTGTGACTCGAAACAGAAAGTGGAGTGGTCGAGCGTGTTGATAGCTCTACTTACCTTAAAAATTTCATTAGCGTTTGTGGGTGGTCGGGGATTAAAATAAAAAGTTCTCCCCTTTTGACGACTTGAGACACTTGTGGCAAAGTTCGTATGAAATATGGTCTGTTAGATTAGAAGATATGCATTTAGTCACTGGTGTTTTCGTGTATACTTGAACCACTAAATGACCAATTCTAAGGTTAAACAAAACATTTCAGATAGACTGTTTCACACATGTCTGGCATAGTAGTGTATCAAAACTCGGTGTGACCAATTTGAAAATATGATATCAGGCCATGATTTTATTGCTCGTTGGTCTTATTTATTTATTTAAACAAATAAACATTGGCACAAGGAAGCGCCAACTAGATATGCGCCACATAAATCATTCGATTTGTGTGAGAGCTGGGGTTCTGCTCGGGTGCCCAAACCAAAGCAGGTGGTTTTCTTAGGAGACCACACACAGAGCCTTTGACATAAAGGTCTGATCCATAAGACAGTGGAGCAACGTTAGAAGATGCAGTCACGTGGTGGCCGGTGACCAACAATTGGTTCATACTCCATTTGTTCTCTCAGGATACTGGGCCCAACCCATGTGCACCATTGGTTTGGAATGAGGGTTTTCCAACTTTCCTAGGTGAACTTGCCGTGTCCACTAACCCAGTTATAGTGCCAGACATTCGCTTTTCTTCCTTTCAACTTCGTAAACAACATCTTTGATTCGAGAAGGTAGTGAGTAGGACTTCTGTGGCAGTGGTCGTATGCACGTGGTCATATGAGAACATTTGGAGAAGGAGAGCTGATTCTCCCCATTCTAGTCTGTACCAGGGCATTTGAGGGCGCTCGTCGGCCTAAGCTGTATTTGCAGCTATAAGCTTGCTGATTATGATATATGGTTTGAAACGTTGGGTAACACAGTTACACAGTAGCATTCATTTTTCATTTATATGTAATTCTTGAGCATGATGTGTTGTCATAGTTTTATTCGTTTCTTTTGTACACTATATCTCTTGTGTTTAGCCTTCTTATACAATGTATACGATTATTCCTAATGTAATGATGTTTATGGTGACGATGATGTATATGTGGTAAACTGGGACGATACACATTCATTTCAGGCTTTACTTTGATTGTTTTTCGTGTTTATTTTGGTTTTAAATATCCCAATGTAATTCATTAAGAATTTGTTTTGTCTGTAGATAATTACAGTCTTGAAATGTTTATATTTTTGTTAGAGATACACCCCGACTTCAATTGATTGCTAGACATTTCTTTATTAGCCTCAGTCACCACAAATATTATAACTTCATTAGTGTATATGACTAAAACGTTCCTCAAAGTTCTGGATATAATATGAGTTTGAAATAAAATTTTTGTTTGTTTGTTAATTTCTATACATTTCTATCACATTTGAATAATCTAAAATCCTAGATACTTCAAGATCCTGAATTCCTGTCATCAACGTCAACGTCACAACCACCTCAAGGAGTATCCTTTGAATCTACTCAACCCAGCTCATCATTAACATGTCCTTGTTAATATTAGAGGGAAATTCACAAGAACGCTGGGAAATACATTCAGATGATCTGGGATCAAATATAATCGACAATAAACCAATCAATCCTGCTTTAAAATGCAAAGAAATCAACTGCACATTTTTTTAAATAACTGTGATTTTACTTATTCGTATATTCATTCTCCCACCGTTTTTTATATATACACATTCAATCATAATCTAATGTATTGAGCAAGTGCTTATTCGTATGAGAACGCCATGCTATGATATAACATCACTGAGTTATATCTCTTTTTCTTGTAATTAAATTGATCATACATTTTTGTCATTATCTTTGTTCAACATAATAAAAATTAGACCATCCTTTTTCATGAAATACTTGTGAAGTATGAAAAATCATTCGATACAACATAGAATACATATTATGATTCGGATTTGGTATGCAAGAATTATATTTACTACATCCTTTTTAATGTTATCATCCTATGGTACTAATCTATGAAGTTACTGACTTTTGGTTTCAGTCAGTCAGTCAGTAACAACGTAGAACTTCGTACGTACGTACATCAGTTCGAGTTGCCACACCACATTAGCACAGAGATGCACTTGTCGATTCAAATCCCGTAGTGGTAGAGGTAATAAGAGTATAAGCAGTAATCGGGAAGATTAGGGTTTGGAGATGTTATTTAAAGAGTATAATCCAGTGAAAGAAATTTGGAAAGATGAAAAAAGGGACATGAAGAATTCAGAAGATTAGAGTTTGGGAGAACACAGAGAGTGGATGCACCTGCGCCATTGCAAACGATTTTGAGCCATGTCATTCAGGGTCTCTAACCATCGGTTGCTGTCATCTCGCGGTCCCCAACCAGGTAGTCTACACCTACCAACATGACTCAGTTCACTTGTCAGTGACTTCATGGACTTGTGCCATGTTTTGGTTTGGCCGCCCCTAGCTTTCTTCCAACCTACTCCTATACCACTGAACATAGCATGTCAAGGCAGTCGGTGGTTGGGCATACGTAACACGTGTCCCAGCCATCTCAACTGATGAAGTTTCACTACGTCATCAATTGATTTGCCATCCTTACCTACTACCCGTCTCCTAACAACTGTGTTACTTACTCGATGGTCCCATGATATACGAGCAATGTTTCGAAGACACCTATGATCAAATACTAGTAACCTACGGATATCCTCTACTCTTACCGGCCATGTTTCACTGCCATAAAGTAGGACGGAACGAACTGCTGCGCAGTAAACACGTCCTTTGGTTGATAGACGGATATCTCGCCTACGCCATAAATGACGCAAGTTGGCAAAAGCTAGTCGAGCCTTCTATATCCGTGCTGAGATTTCGTCACACACCAAACCACAAGGGCTGATGAGACTTCCAAGATAAGTGAAGCGGTCGACACACTCAACTACTTCACTCCCTATCACTAGTTCGGGTGTCGATGTAACCCAATCCTGAAGCAACATTTTGCATTTCGAGGGAGAGAATCGCATCCCGAACATGCTTGCATTGTTGCTTAGAGTGGTCAGAAGACTCTGCATTTTGTCAGCGTCTTCACCAAATAAAACTATGTCATCTGCATATTCTAAGTCAACAAGTGAACCTCCTGGTAGAAGTTCAACCCCTGTAAATTTAGATGAGGAGAGTGTTATCTCTAAAAGTACGTCAATGACAAAGTTGAACAAGAATGGAGAGAGTGGACAGCCCTGACGAACACCACTTGAGGTAATCAATTCTGATGACATTTCGTCATAAGCTCTCACTCTACCAGTTGTGTTCGAGTAGAGAGCCTTTATAAGGTTAATGTACTTCTTTGGTACTCCTTTCAGTGACAAACACTGCCATAGAACCTCACGATCAACGGAGTCGAATGCCGCCTTAAGGTCGAGAAATACTACCATTGTGGGGCGTCTGAATGTGTGTCTCTGTTCTAGAACCTGACGTAGTGTGAATATCTGATCGATGCAACCACGTCCAGGTCGAAAACCAGCCTGGTTTTCTCTAGTCTGCTCTTCACGAGCTTTAGTTAGGCGTCGAAGTATTATTGAGGCTAATATTTTAGACACTATATTAGTCAAACTGATTCCTCTGTGATTGTCACAAGAGGACTTTTGTCCTTTCTTAAAACTGGCACAATCAGTGATCGAGACCAGTCAGATGGGATTACGTCCAGTCCCCAAATTCTACCTAAGACCTCAGTTAATCTCATTGCTAATACTGGACCACCATCCTTAAAAATCTCAGGAGTAAACCTGTCAGGGCCTGCTGCTCTCCCTCGTTTCAGATTTCCTATGGCTTTTTCAACTTCGTAAAGGGACGGAGGACTTACATTAACTTGCCATTCAGGTTGACTGGAGATCGTGGGAAACCGAAGTGTGGCTGAAGGCCAGTTGAACTGATCCCTAAAGTGTTCTGCCCATCGATCCAATCTCCTGGATTGAGAATGAATAATATGTCCATCTTTCTCTGAGATTGTTTCGCTAACGGTCGGGTTCCTAATTCCGGTTTCCTTAACGAGTCTAAACAATTGTCTGCTATTACCTATTGCCGCTGCCTTTTCCATCTCTCTTGCTTTCGCTACCCACCACTGTTCGCGATCATTGCGTAGACTTCTTGTCAGCTTGCGCTTATGCTGACTCCGCTCTTCATTATGTTCAGAGCCAGGTGGAATGAGTTTTCGAGCATCTATCAGTGCGATAGATGCTGCTGAGATCCAGTGTTGCTCCCTAACTTTACGGTTTACCTTACTAGCAGATATCACTGCTGTTTCCACAGCTTTTCGGATATCGTTCCATGCTGCCTCGGGGTGGGCATCACATACATGGCTGCCTAACTGTTTTCCTAGTTGTTCCTGAAATATATTCTTAGTTTGACTATCATTAAGTAGGCCCTAAGAGGTTTCCTTGCAGGATCTTTCCTACGTCCAGTAAGACGCAAGCAAATACGCGCTCGCACTAGAGCATGATCTGAATCTAGGCATGTGCTCCAGAATGAGCGACAGTCTTCTACCGAGCCCCTCCATCGGTGGCTGATAGCGATGTGATCTATTTGGGTCCAACGTTGGGACGAATTAGGGGGTCGCCATGTTAAAAGATGTTTTTCCTTATGCTTAAAGTTAGTATTTGCAAGGAACAGGCGGTTATCTGAGCATAGCTGCAACAGACAGTCGCCATTATCTGTTCTTTGAGCCACGACACCATAGATCCACCTAGGTGTCTTTCCTTATCGCTTAGTTTACCTACTTGAGCACTAAAGTCACCGGCCACTATTACTACATCCGAGCGCTTAGCTTTTCGGAGAAGGTCCGAAAGCTTTCTGTAAAACTCATCTTTTACATCATCCGAGCTGCAGTCAGTAGGAGAATAGGCTGAGACGACGAAGAGGCAACGACGAGTGTCCCTATCTTTCCGGATTCTTACTGTTCCGTTTAGTCGAACAGCGCACAAACGACTGTTTACTGGGATCCACTCTAAGAGAGCTAGTTCTGCCCTAGGACTCAATGCTATACCTACGCCGGCGAGGCCACGGGAAGCAGAATCAGGGCTTTCAGATACACGAAGCGTAAATCGAGTCGGTTCTTTATTTTGGCATGGTGAGGTCAAATGAATGACGCTACTTGGATCCTGTATGCGCGTTTCGGAGACGCAGCACACATCGATGGCGCGAGATTCTAAAGTTTTAGCTAAGGAAGCCTGCTGTCCTATTTGGCAAAGTGTTCGTACGTTAAAAGCTCCTACGTGTAGTTTAGAGCGTGGTTTCAGGAGACCAGGAATGGCGTTCCACGTACTCGAATCGTTTGCCCTAGCGGTGCGAGGTGATAAAGAGACGTGAGGAGGGTTAGTCGGGAGGATAAGAGAGGTATTAGGAGGTGTAGGAAGGATTTGAATGTGACCACCTTGGTCTCTTGTGCTGTTACGGGTATGAGGGGTGATGTCGCTTCCCGGCTGCCCACACCGTGGAAGGGTATTTCTTGATGAACCTGAAAAGGAAATTGGATTAGCGTTGGTCTTGACGACCTGGGAGCGTGACCGCAGAGCCCAGGGGACAACTGCTTGAGGCCGGTCGCGCACGGCCTTTTTGTGGAAGGTTTTTGACGTGTTAGCTCCGTTCTTCAAGGGCCTTACCGCCGGAGACGGAAATCCGTGAGGTAAGGTGAGGTGTGCATTTTTAGGGTCGACCTTTTCTAACCCCACCCCTCCTTGTGGGAAGGCAGCATCGCTGTCATGCTGGTTGTCCGAGGGAAACACCTTACTGCTGTCACACCTCTGTACAGTCAGCAGTACGACTTCGCCCTCAGACCTTGAGTTGCTGCTTTTAGTCTTACCGTTCGCCAATCGACCTGCCTGGCATGGTAGAACCTGCAGGAACATATGTTCCAGCCAATATAGCTCGGTTGGGTCATCACGATAGGCAAGCCCGACCACCGCGTCAAGGTAGCAGCTTCGATCGGGTCTTTTGGTTTGAGCCATGGTGGATACGTGAAGACTATCTGGTTAAGGCTCGAGGGATTATCATAACAATAGTTACAGATGTTAAATGACATGATTCGGAATCGGTATTAACAACGGAAATGCACTCATTCATTATCTCTCCTTAGATCCTGAGTTTCAAAGATATGTCACACTTTTTATCCTGTCGAGATATCGTGTTATATTTGGCGGTTATGCGATTCTGATGCTTATATGTATCCTTCTTTCATGTGAACCCAACACGTTACTCGAGTAAGAAGACAAGAAATGAGTACAAAGCTTTGTTGGTTAACCTTATTCAAAGTGTACAGAAGCTCACCAAGTTATCAGACCCTATCACCTCTCCCTATTGAGAAATCGATCTTCCTCTTAAGGTTTAACTGCAAAAGTTGCACTGGGGGTACATTAAATTCTTTAATTTCAAACCATATTTTTTGTGCATCGTTTTTACTATCACAGATATTACTATTACTTCTACTCTGACATATGCCTTTATTATCTCATCTGTGATGTAGTGTGGCGACTTCAACGGATGTAAGTATGTCTCACGTTCTCTACTTTGCTTATAACCGACTCGCTCATTTCGTTGATTTCCACATAAATACACAGTTTACTTTCAAGGATATTACAATTCTTTACCACTAACTTCCTTTTTTCTACTCAATCTTATAATTTCTGTTTTTCACAGAGTTATTCTTATCATTGATTTAGCTTGTATCGGAACTTAACGCGTATTTTACATGTATTTTAACTGTGCATCATAATCCAGAGAACCGAAAACACAATACCAGTACTGTAACTGGTTTGCGATGAATGTGTCTATGTATCTCAGAAGTAGTATATCTTGAGGACTTACAAATTACAGTTGGACAGTTTCGTCGCTTTACCTAAACTAGAAGTATCTAATCGCAGATACGATGAATTATATTTCTAAACCACAAGGGTATATGGGATCGGATAATTTTGAATATTCGGTAAAATATT